ATCAGGCGGTCACATTCAAGGTGCTATAAACATCTACACTGAGCAAGGAATCCAAACCTTCATGGAAAGTCGTCTTCATTTCACAAAGAACGATATTTTGATATTCCACTGTGAATTTTCGTCACACAGAGGACCTAAGCTGTAAGTATTAACTGACTTTAAATTGAGAAGCCTTGAGTTGATATCTTTACAAAGAGAAACAGAGAGCAACAGGCATGTATGTCTTCATTAACAAAATTATCTTTTATTTTACAGAATGAGGTTTCTTCGAAGTATGGATCGCAAACAAAATAGCCACAGATATCCAGAGCTTAACTTTCCCGAAATTTATCTTTTAGACGGAGGATACAAAGCATTTTATCAACACAACAAGGTATGTCTCGTTGTCAAACAGCGTTTTTACCAAAAATATTTATTATCATTTTCCCACAAAAGTAGCAATCGGTCAAGAATGTTTGAAAAACGTCGTGTTTAATTTTCTTTTCTTTTCTTATCCAGGTTCAATGTAATCCTCAAGCTTACCTACCAATGTTACACGAAGATCATTCAAAAGACTTACGCCATTTTCGTGTCCGATCAAAGTCGTGGACAGCCGGAGAAAAGCGAACAAGATCTCGACGAGTCATTCGGTCGCCCTATTAAATTGCTTGGTTTTGTGAAAACGATTATGTGTTGTTACACAATTTACTGATAAGCAGATCTGTGATATTTTGACTGTTAATTCTCTTGTTATTTATTTTATACTATGTGTTATTTCAATTGTTCATATATATTATTATTGCTCGAATTACTGTTAATATCTCTACAATTGTTATTTTTATGTTTGGAAAGAAATAAAAGTCTTTTTCAATGAAAAGTTTTGCTCAGTTTATGTCAGAAAAATGCTAATTGTTCAAGTTTTGGACAATATAACCAAAGTGACTGAAATGTGGCTGTCTAATATCAAATTTCGTCAAATGGACGAGAATAGTTCAGATTTAATTTTGGATCAACTTTGGCCGAGATGAAACTGCAACTCACTCACCAATCATTTCAAAATGCAATCAAACAAATCAATCAGACTGGGCGTGAAGGGATTGATAGCTTGATCGAATTATAACCGATATGAAA